AAAAAAAAAAAAATCTCATCCGTGACTCCCTATGTGAGTATCAGGGTAGAGTCAAACTCCCATTGGATGGTGTTAATGGCATTAAGAACAGTCATTTGAGGGGTGCCTGAGTGGCTCAGTCGTTAAGTGTCTGCCTTCGGCTCAGGTCATGATCCCAGGGTCCCTCTCTCCCTGCTTGTGTTCCCTCTCTCGCTGTGTCTCTCTCTGTCAAATAAATAAATTAAATCTTTAAAAAAATTAATTAAATAAAATCTTAAAAAAACAAAAAGAACAGTCATTTGGGACTCCGTTGGAACCACATGAACGAGGACCATCATCTGTGATGTTGAACCAATGAAGTCCGTGCTGAGGTTGCCCATTAGAATCGATGACACCAGGGGGCTCCTGGGTGGCTCAGTAGGTTGAGCGTCTGGCTCTTGGTTTCGGCTCAGGTCATAATCTCAGGGTCATGTGATCGAGCCCCATATCAGTCTCCTCGCTGAGCATGGAGCCTGCTTAAGATTCTCTCTCTCCCGGGACACCTGGGTGGCTCAGTCGGTTGAGCGTCTGCCTTCGGCTCGGGTCGTGATCCCAGGGTCCTGGGATCTAGTCCCGCATCAGGCTCCCCGCAGAGCTCTCCCTCTGCCTCTGCCTCTCTCTCTCTCTATCTCTCATGAATAAATAAATAAAATCTTTAAGAAAAAAAAAAAAGATTCTCTCTCCCTCTCCCTCTGCTCCTCCCCCGTCCCCCCTGCTTGCCCACGTGCATGCAGCTCTTTCTCTCTCAAAAAAAAAAAAAAAAAAATTTTTTTTTTTGATGACACCAGGATTGTGCCATGATGAAGGTTCCATATGCCAAAACACCAAGAGTTGGATATGGTTTGTGCACAAGGCAGTACTGATAACAGTTTTGAACGCAACTGAATCAGTTTTCTGCAGGCCTGACGTGGCTAGCATCCCTCGAGCCCCTAAATGCCACAGGTATATTTAGGGCTGTGTAATAACAATCCTGGCCAATGCGGCAGGTCATCTGGAACACCAGGGGCACTGAAGACTCGAGATTTCCATATAAGCGTGACTGCCACGAAGCTGGAGGTCCTTGGATGATGGAACATCCAAGAATATGCTTCTAATGGAGGTGCAGTCTTCACAGAATGGATGATCTTCATCTGCTGTGTGTATTGGCAAGGCGGCTGTGTGGCCTTCATCTGCAGGTAGGGCAAGATCTCAATGTTCTCGCTCAGAATCGTGGAAGATGGGAAGAGTGGACCTGCGGAACCTAACACTTGGGCTTAACCTTGAGACACACTGGTGTGTTCCTTTATTTTTTTAAGTATGATTGAAGGACATGTGTATGGGTGCTTGTTGTAGACTGAACAAGTGTCCATCCCCCCAAAGTCATAGCTGATGCCCTAACCCACAATGTGACTGCATTTGAAGAATGGGCCTTTAAGGAGGTAATTAAGGTTAAATGAGGCCATAAAGGTGGGGCGCTGATCCGATGTGACCCATGTCTTTATAAAAGGGAAACTGTGTCTCTCTGCACACCACGTGAGCTACAGGGCGAGATAGCAGCCCTGTGCAAGCCAGAAAGAGTGTTCTCACCAGGAACCACGCCCTGTCCGAAGCGTGATCTTAAACTTTCCAGCCTCTGGAACCGTGAGTTATAAATATGTGTTGTTTAAACCACTTGGCCTGTGGGTATTTTGTTATGGCAGGCCCTGGCACACTGAGGGGCCAAGTCAATAAGGAGTGGACCCTAATGGTCAGCTTATGTGTCAACCCCAGTAATTCAGATGCTAGTGTAGGGTTTGCTCTAAGGGTATTTTGTAGGTGTGATTCAAGTCCACAGTCAGATGACATGAAGTGAGGGAGAGTATTCTAGTTAATCTGGGTGGGCCCGTTTCAATCAGTTGAAAGGTTAAAAAGCAGAGTTGAGATTTCCCAGATGAAGAAACTGCCCGGAAGTCCAGCCGGCCCTTCCTGATGGGCTGCCCTATGGATTTGAGAGTTGCTTGGCCAGCCCCCACAATCCTGTAAGCTAATTCCTTCCAAATATCCCTTAATATCTACCTCCTACTGGCCGTTTCTCTGGTGATTCCTGTTATAGGCTCCACCTTCCTCCCTGTGCACATTCCCCTTCTCCTCCCCCAAGCTCTGCCCCCTTACCTCTCCCTCGAAGCTCCAAATCAGGCTCCACCTCCGGAGCTGAGCACCGCCCCGGGCCCCACCCACCACTCAAGCCCCTCCCCAGCCCCTCCCCCAAGCTGTGCCTCTGGGCCCTTACCTCTCCCTCCGAGCCACGCCTCCTACCTCTGAGCTCCACCCCCGCCCTACCTTCCTGTCCCCTCCCCACACACTTCTGGGCCCCGCCTCCAGCCCCTCTCCCCTCACCATCACACTTGAGGCCTTGGCGCACTAAGCCGAAGAGCATCTCCCCGCAGTGATCACAGAAGGCCGGCGCTCGGTAGGAGTGCACCGTGAGGGCGTGCGGGCGGATCTGGAAGTCCTCGAAGGTGGCCGAAGCTGCAGGCAGCAGGGAGGGGCGGATGGTTGAGCCGGGGCAGCGAGGGCTGTTGCTGGGTTTCTCACAGTCCTCCCCGCTGCAAGGTCTGATCTTGCCTTCCTTCATTTACTCGCATACTACACTCTACCTGGGTTCAAATCCCAGCGTCACCACTGGGCAAGACACCTATGCCGGGGACTGGGGAGTTGTTTAGTGGGTACAGAGTTTCAGTTCTGCAAGATGAAAATATTCCTGGAGACTGTGGCAGGACAGCGTGAATGTCATTAACCCTACTGAAGAGGAGACTTAAAAATGGTTAAGATGGTAAATTTTATGTTATGTATATTTCACAATTAAACACTTTAAAATAAAATTTAAAAATACAGATACAGATGCCTGGGTCCCACCCTCAGAGTTGCTGATCTAGGATGGAGCTTGAGTATCAAGAGAAAAAACCAAATACCTATGTATCTCCGTTTTCTCATCTTTAAAATGGAAATCCAACAAACATTTACTGAGCATTGTTCTAGGTGCCAGGGACACCACACAAAACAAACAGACAAATTCCCTGCCTGGCCTCTAGTAAGGGAGGCTGACAACCAAAGAAAATAAATATTCTTTTTTTTTTTTTTAGAATACTCTGGTCCAAGCCAAGTCCCACTTGGTTTAGTGCCATAGCCTCTTTTTTTTTTTTTTTTAAAGATTTTATTTATTTATTT